TATTATTATTATTATTATTATTATTATTATTGAGAAACACCACCACGAAAAGTGGGGGAACCGCAGTGACGCTGGACAGCAACAGAAGAACTGGCAGAAGCATTAGTGCCCAATGTGCACCTAACGTACATATTTTCACGAGCTCGTTTTTACTCCGGAAATGAAAAAAAAACAAAGAAAAAGAAATATTCTTACATTCCCTTACATTAAATTTGTTTATTTTTCTTCTTTGGAGGCTCTGCAAGACTCAAAATATACGCGAGGCACTTGAACCTGTCGGTCTCACTGCAGTTACCAATGATATGTTCATATTTCATCTCATATACGTATGCGTTCACATGTACACAATCGCACACAAAGAAACCGAAGCTTCCGTCAGAACACACACACACACACACAGAGAGAGAATCACCTCTCACTGAGAAACAATAGATTTGTGGAGAGGTAAGGAGACTACGGAAATATAAACTAGTTGGAATAAAGATGAAGAGGGGTTGGGGAAAGTAAAAAAAGAAAAAAAAAAGAGAAAATGATGCGATAGAAGAAGGAGTAGGAAAAGAATAAAGAATATCTTGATATTTAGGTTTGGCATTGTTATCACCTTTTTTCTCTCTCCATTCTCTCCCCCCACCGCTTTTAGTTCTACGGCGGACATTTCTTTTTTCTTTTTTTTTTCAGCTTCACTTTCCCTTCTTCAATTGTGGTTTTTTTTTTTTTTTTTTTTTTTACTTCTTATCTTGCCCTTCTTTTGGCTATCAGATCAGGCTTCCTGTTTCCCCCCCTTTTTTTGTTTTTTGTATTGTGTATTGTGTAATTCACCCAAGGAAAAAAAAAACCGCTTTTCTTTTATTTTCCTTTTCAATTATTCCCTCTTCTTTTTTGGAACAGCCACCGCTGTTTGTCTCCATTTTGAATGTCCTCTCTCTGTGTTTACGTGTTCCTCTTTTTTTTTTTTTTTCTTGACACTCGCTGGGCAGGAGGAGCGGCGAGGCGATAACAAAAGGGAAAAAGAGGAATTAAAGAGAAAATTGGGAGAATAGAAAGACCGGCCAAATGGTCTTTTCTTCCCTCAAGTATTTGAGTGTAACCAATTGATAGCGAGAGTGAGAGGAAGGATGCTGTCTCTGTGTGCAGACGTGTATATATGTGAGCGAGTAGTGAAAGACTACAGGGAGTGTATTTTGTGTTTATTTCAATTGTAGATGTTGTTGGGAATCATCAACCCTAATGTTAAGTGAAAATAAAATAAAAGTAAAAAAAAAAAAATGGAATGATGTGTCCCCCAATGGGAAGAAGAATCACCACACATGCACACGTACACCCATACTCACACTCACACAAGCACATATTTTAATTATAATACCTCATTACTTCTTTCTCGTCATGTGTATGTACATATGTACATGGCTCCCTCTCTAGTTATCACTGTGCTTATTTTTTTTTTTTTTTCTTTACCCTTTTTCCACCTCACCCTATCTCATTCACTTTTTTTTTTTTCTTGTCAATGCTCCCATTCTGTGTGTCAATATGTATTTCTCTCTCTCTTTTTTTTCTCCCTTTTTCTCTATTTCACCCGTTTCCGTTGCCTATAATATTATGCATAAATAAGGTTCAAAGCTAGGTGTGCACATCAGGGGACATATCTTCTGCGTCTCTCTATCTATATATATATATATATATATAAATATATCTATATATATCTCTGTCTGTCTGTCTGTCTCACTCTCTCTCTCTCTCTCTCTGTAAACGCAACGGAGGGTTTATTATGACTCACGACGAGATGTTCGAAATGCCGCCGGCTGTACTTGACCGCTGCCCGCCGTCACTCGCGTTGCCAACGGCAGACCCACACGCTTTAGCAGTAGAGGCAATGTTGCGTTTTGTCGGTGCACACTTTGTGAAGCACGACGCACCACTCCCCGTTGCATGTGAAATACGCACAGCCGTCAATAACAAGAATACATCATGGCGTAGTAAAGGCCAGAAGGAGAGACATGAAGGTTGCATGGCGTGCCTTAATTTCATTGAAAATAACACACATCTTGACGCAGAGATGGTGCCGAGTGATCAGCAGCCACTGTTGCTTTGTGTAAAGGTACTAGCACTAAAGTCACTCTTTCCGGCATTTGTATACATCACACACATGGATGATGGACTCTACAAGAGTGTCATTCAAAAAGCGATTGTACCTAAAGTAGCCACCACCTGGCAGCGATTGCGTGGGACGTACCGCAACGACGTACTGGAGCACAACCCAAGCTGTGGACACTACAGTAGTGTAGAGGAAGCTGTAAAGGAAATAGAAAGTGGTCTTCGGGCGTTGGAAACATTACACGTTGCACATGCAAACTCCGCTGGAACTTTTCTTTTGGGAACAGAGCGGCCCTGCAGTGCAGATGCGATGGCGTACGCGGCGGCCTCATCCTTTCTGCATGCGGACTTTGCCGGTCATCAGGCGTCCACAGTTATTTTGGAGGCCCAACAGAGATTGCGGGAGGAGTGCCCGGTGTTGCTGAAGTATGTGGAGAAACTGCGGATGTTGTACTTTGAGGAGTACAGTGCCTTTTACAATCTCCGCCCAACGGAGTCATGCAATCAGGGAATGAAGAATGGAATGGAATCATCACAGGATGACATGTATCGTCGAGGTCGATGGACGACGATCACGTGCACAGTTGGCTTTACGTTGATGTACTTTGTTCTCACGAATGCCAAACTTATCTTGCTTTTACTAGAGGAGTTGTCTGAAGAAGAAGAAGAAGAGGAGGATATGGAGGAGAATGAAAGGGGTGAACATGGGGAAAATGAAGGACGGATTAAATCAAAGGAAGAGTCCAAATAGACAGCAATGATGATACTCTCTCTTTCACTCTTTCACTCTTTCTGTCTGTCTCTATGCCCGTATGTTTGTGGGGCTTTTCCGTGCGTTGGTATCATAACGAAAAACAACCTCAAGAACGACAAGAACCAACACCAACACCAACGCAACAACAACAACAAAAAAGAGGAACATGACGTTCAGAACGTGCAATAAAGCGAAATTCTCGTTCATTAAATCCGAAAAAAAAAACATCTTTCCCTTCTGATTCACTTTTTTTTTTTGTTTGTTATTGTTTTGATTTTTTTTTTTTATTTTATTATTATTGCTACCATTATCATCATTCTTATTTTTTAAATTATATTATCTATCTTTCTCTTTTTTTTTCCTTTGTATTTCCTTCTTGTTGTTAACATTATGTAATAATTGTAGTTAGGAAGTTCTCTTGCTCAAGGTCAAGCAGGTCGAACGCAAACTTCTATATATATATTTATATAGGTGCTTCTGCTTGTCTGTGTGTGAAGGTAAAAAAGAAAAAGAAAAATGCAGGGTAGTTGGTCGATTCTGAAGAAGAACTGCTCAAACTTCTTCCCTGGTCTTGCGGTGTTTGCCAGACAAACACAAGAGGCACTCGATATTTGGCTTCGTATTTACAATCGTCAGCTCAAATATGGACCAGCGGACTTTGTGGAGCAGAGCGAAACGTACTCCCCTGACTACCACAAGCGCTTTCACTCGCAGGACAAGAACATGTGGGTTGACATGGAGCTTAGTAAGGAAGTCTCTCAGAAGGAAGTGGCAAAGTTAATGGCATACAAACTGGATATGTGGCGTATGGTACACTGCACGGGCTCTACACTTGTGATTGGCGGCTATGCACTTCCTCTCGCTCTCTTCTGGCTTGCAAACGACACGTGGGTGCCGTCGTCTTTTAACCGCACACCGGAGGAATTGAAGGCATGGCGACATGCGCAGGACTTATATCGCTACCGCAGTGTGCCTTCATATCTTACAGACACCAAATGGTTCTTTGACTTTCATGCGTACCCGTGGAATGAGACACAGGAACGTGCTTGGGATGATCTCTTTGAGAAGAATGATGTTTGGCGTGATCCTAAGGTGGTTCGTCCGGCTGCAGAGATGTATGATGGATTCATTAAGTTTGAACTTATTAAACGAAAGTCACTCCGTCACCTTTGCCGCAGTATGAATATTCCAACATTCCCAATGCTTACACGTCTTTGTAATGGTACACGAGTACGAGACTACTGGAATCTCGCATGGTCGGAGGATTATATGGTCATTACTCAGAAATTACATGAAAAGATGTCAGATGAGGAGTTGTACGACTTTGCATGGAGACGTTTTCTCGCCCCATATGATAAAAATCTCACACGCGAAGAAGTGATGAAACGCGTGGAGGATTACTTCACCTTCCTTGGTCCTGAGTTCCTTGAGAAGGGAAAGGCACCTAATCTTGTTATTCTGACAAACTACGTGCTTGGGTATTATAATGATCCCGCATATCTTGAGGAGGATATTGCCGAGCTTGACAAGAATGACTATGATCACCTCGCAAGTTGGGGCAAAGACGCATTCCTCCGCCGTCTTGAGTTTGAGAATGGTCCACTGCGCGACCAGGTGGAGGCACACACACAGAAGTTGCTGGCAGAACGTGCTGCAGTTGCAAAGGAACAGGAAACTGCAAAGAAGACAGCGTAGGACTAAACTGAAAGTGTGAAGATAAAAAAAGAGAGAGAGAGAAGTAATATGGAGATATGTGTGTACAGGTGAAGTGGTATGTTAGTAGAAAGAAAAAAAAAAAGAAAAGGAAACAAGCAAACAGAAAAAAAAAAAAAAANAAAAAAAAAAAAAAACATAGTTCGAAAGGTAGCGCCATCTTTTTTTTTTTTTTTGTCGTTTCTTATTCATGGTTAGTGGAAGGAAGGGGTTTTTAGGTGAAAGAAGTTCTGCTGTTGTGTTCTTCTGTTTTGTTCTGCACTGTTTTCTTTTTTTATATTATAATAATTATTATCTTCTTTGCCTTTTTCCCCTTCTTTTTCTGGGGATTGAGTGGAGAAGTAATGATTGGTACGTATGAGAGTCACTTATAGGAGAATTCAATTTTCTTCCGTTATGGGAAGAATGCAGCAGGAGTTTTTTTTTTTTTTCTTCTTACATCTGAGGAATGGTGTTGTTCGCTTTAAAATCCCTGTGAAGACACTCTAAGCATACTCTTTTTTTGTGCTTATTTCTTTTTTTTTTTATTTACCTTCTATTCTTTAACAATACTTCCTGTTACTATTTTATTATTACCATTGCTTCTTTTCTTTTCTTTTTTCCTTTTTCTCTTTAATATGAGTATTTTCTGAAAGAGTTCACCTCTGAAAAAAAAAAAAAAAATCCCAGAAAGGAAGTTGAGAAGGTAGAATACGCACACAATTGCATACATACACGTGAAGGGAAATACCGAAGAGAATTTTAGAAAAAAGTTCTACTTTTTAGTTATCTTTTCGTGTTTATTTATTTAATTGTATTTAGATCCTTGATATATTCATATACATATATATTGAGGGATGGGCTGTTGTTGTTGTTGTGTGAAGACGACAAGAGATGAACCGGAGACGTATGAGAAGAGGCGCAATTGTACCGATATCTTCTTTGCACTTTTGTTTATTGCAATGTTGGCTTGTTTTGTGGCCCTCGGTGTGATTGCCTTCGACAAGGGTGATGTGAGGAGTATTGTCTACGGGCACGATTATCTCGGTCACTACTGCGGTGAAGGGGAAGCCCCGCCAGACTTTGAAAGCAAAATTCCAGAAACGGCCATGTTTCAAAGTAAGAAGTGGGAAGAAAACAAGTTTGTGTGGTATCCGCTGCCGCTCGCCATTAATTACTCCTCCGTGTTTAGTCACCTCAGCCGCTATTTAAACCTCGGCGTCTGCGTGAAGACATGTCCGGAAACAGATGTAGAGGCGTTAAAACTATTGGCTCAGGGTGGAAATGCCACACATCCCACCTTATTAGAGAAGATTCGTGTTTTCTCGTATGGAACGACGGCGGCTAATGGAGAGACGGTGCAGGCAGCTTCCCAGATGTATGCAGTATATGATTCATCTGAACTGATTCGTAAATGTCTTCCAAAACTCACACAACCGGAAGAAGTGCGAGACATAATTTCTGATCCTTTTTTGCAGAAAGCTTATACGTTTGCCATGCAGGGAGCACATGAAGTACAAAACAGTTGGCGTGTTTTTATTATTGAAGCGGCTATATGTGTTGCTTTGTGCTTTGTTTTTATTGTGCTTATGCGATACATGGTGGATTTACTTGTGTGGCTTGTCATTTTGTGTTTATTCTTCATATTGGCTGGGGGTGGTGCAATCTGTTATTTCCTCTATCACACGAGAGGAGAAAGTACTTATTTACCAGTATCAGGAATATCTGATTATGCATTACTCTTTCTGGTTTTTGCAATCATACTGTGGGTATTGTCACTTGTGTATTTATTTATTATATTAGCACTCTGCTCTAAAGTACGTCTTGTCTGTGCTGTTATTAAAATCTCCAGTCGTGTATTAGCCTCTGTGCCTTCATTACTAATTGTACCTATTGTGATTGGAGTATTAATACTTGTCGTACTTACTTGGTCTGTTGCGGTTGGTATGGCATTATATAGTGCTAGGAAGAGTGATTCCAAACTTTCATTGGTGCCTGTTACAGATGGATTAAAATTCAGTGATGAAACAGTTGTGGTGATTAACAATACCAAATTTTATTCCGTTGCATCCCGTGTATTAGAGACGGATCATATTTTTGAATATTTGGCTGTTGCTGATCTCTTTGCGTTTTTATGGACGATGGGATTCCTCAGTGCCTTTTCATTCACCGTCGTTGCCTTCGTTTCCGTCTTTTGGTACTTTTCAAGTTTACACAACAGTGAAAAGGCGGTACCACTCTTTGGTGTTTGCCGCGCGGTGTGTTGGACACTTGTATACCACACCGGCACGATAGCGTTGGGCTCTCTTATCATTGCTATTATACAAACTATCCGTTTTCTTCTTTCTTACTTTGCGAAGAAGGCAAAGGCGGCGATGGGGGATAATCAATTGTTTAAGTGTGTATTCTATTGTATGAAGTGTTTTGTTGCCTGTTTTGAAAAGGTGCTTTCTGTAATTAATAAAAATGCATATGTGATGATGTGTATTACATCTAACGGTTTCTGCCTTTCCGCGTGTAGTGCTGTTTCCATGATCTTAACCTATGCGGTGGAGCTTCTCTTTCTCGGCTGGTTGTTGGGGGTGGTCATTTTCTTTGGAAAACTCTTCGTTGTTGGCTCCTGCTGTGTGTCTGCCTATTTCCTCTGCACCGTGGAGAGTCTCGCCCCCGATGTGGAGGTGAAGTTTATGCCCGTCCTCGTCGTTGGCGTGATGGCGTACTTTATGTGCACTGTCTTCTTTAATGTGTACAACTCCGCCGCCGATGCGCTGTTGGTGTGTTACTGTTATGATCGGAAAATGAATGAATCCAATGGACTTTATTATGTGCCGTATGAGTTGGAACATCAACTGAAGGATTACTCACAACGGGAGAAACTACGGGAATTTAACGCCATGCAGGCAGCAGCACACCAGGATTGATTAAATAAATAAAATGGATGGGAGAAGAGGGGAGAAGGTTAGAAAAAAAAAAAAAGAAGAAAAAAGAAGGAGGTGCAGTTACACACTAGTAACTCCCAGAAAGAAAAAAAAGGAAACAAACAAAAAAAAACTGGAAAAAAGTATAGATCTCCCTACAAATGCTTATATGTATACACGAACAAACAACAACAAAAAAAAAAAAAATAAAAAAAAAGAGAAGAAGATAAACAAAAATTATATATATATTTATATACTCTGTGCTTATAAACCCAAATGAAAAAAAAAAAAAAGACAAAAGAGCAAAAGAAAAAAATAAAGGCTAGGAACTTATTTCACCACAGAAAAATAAGCAGAAGAGAAACAAAATAGTCATCTATTGAACGGAAAAGGGAAACCAATAGTTTTAACATCAATAGTAGCTGCTAGAGTAGTAAATGGTAGTAGTGGTGATAATAAAACAACACCCAATGAAGTAAAGTGGGTTCTCTCTCTCTCTCTCTCTATATATATATATATATATATATATATATATATATATATAAAAGTAAACAACATACGACGGTTATCACCGTTATAGATTTATTGGGTGTGAGAGAATTGTGCTGATGGGCTCTGCAAACAAAGGTTCATTCTTTTTTTAATTTATTTATATGTATGTGCATATATCATCTCATTACTCTTGTTGTTGTGTAATGTTTCTTTGGCGGTGTTTATAATGATGTTGTTGTTTTTTTCTTTCATACTCGCAGAACAAACGACTGGAAAAACAACGACAAATACATCCGTTCTTTACTTAAGAGAAACAATTCTTTACACAAGAAGAGGAGTGAAACTGCGCTTGCCGGTATTTCCTTTATTTATATTAATAGAAGGAGAGGAAGTGAGCCGGTGTTATGTTGACAGAGACATATATATATATAGCTGTGTACCGGATGTTAAATTTGCTCATCATACAAACTAAGAATGAATATACAATGAATATGAAACGAAAAAAAGAAAAAAAAAAGAGAGAGATACTGAGATAAAATAATACATCTATTTCTATGACTATCTCACAATTACATGTCTATACATGTACTTGCACAACTAGAGGTATTACAAGTTATATATATATATATATATATATATATATATATAAGAGAGGTAAAACAATGCGTATACCCAGGGATCTACGTTCAACATATAATGTGCACGTATTTCCTTTTTTAAATTTATATGACTAGTATTCCTTTTTTTTTTTTTCTTCTTGTATTCATAAACGTTTGTCGTTTTTTTTTTTCTTTTTTTTACTATTTTACCAGAAAGTATACTGTTGTGTTTCTTTTTTTTTCTTTCTTTTGTATTGCTTACTTGCATAAATGGAATTCTTTTTTCTTGTTTCATTAGCTCAGAACTAATATTATTCATTCTTTTGCGACATTCATAACTCAATAAAGAAAAATATATATATATATATATATATATATATATATACAGGAAGAAAGTATGAAAGAGGTGGAATTATCATTTTTGTGTTTCTTCCTGTTCTTCTCCAATGTCCTTCAATGTCCATTGGAATGGCTCTTTCTGTTGCACCGTGTAAATTGCTGTTTTTTTTTTTTTTGTTTGTTTGCTTTTTACTTTTGGTGCACGGACTTTTTTTTTGAGGAATGTTCTGTTTTTTTCTTTTTTTTTTCCTTTTTTTTCTGTGTATGTTTCTGTTGGGCTCGTATTTTCCATGTTTCTCTTTTTTTTTTTCTCTTTTTGTTTTTTGTGTGGTTCTATCTTTGGAATGAACAAATCATCTGTTTTTTTTTTTCATCATGATACCAACAGTGTTAACTTTGGTGTGTTTCATAGTTGGCGGGGAGATGTTTTCATATCTGCTGTTTGGATTGTTTTCTATATCTCTTTATCCTTCTCATCTTTTTTATTCTTTTTTTTTTTTTTTTAAAAAAAAATCATAGGGATACATTAAGAGTTTATTTTTAAGAAAAGAGAAATTAAAAAAAAAAGAAGGTAAAGAAAAATAAGGAAAAAAACAACAACCAAACTCATACCACAGCGATCTATATTTAAAGAAAAAAAAAAACAAACAAACAAACAAACAAACGATCATCCAGAAGAAGAAAAACACACTTAAACGATAATCAACAACAGCAACAACAAAAAGAAGAACAGGCAGTGCAATCATGAGCAGTGGACTTGCCGACTTTGACGGAGATGACGTGAAGGCACCCATTGTGTCTGCGCAGCCGCACATTGGTGTTGGGATGGGCACACACAGTGCAGTCGCCCTCGGCGGCTTTCAGGACTTCTGTCTGAAGAGCGAACTCGCCAACGCCATTCGCGAGAACGGCTTTGAGCACCCAAGCGAGGTGCAGCACCAGGCACTCCCGCAGGCGATGCTCGGCGCCGACATTCTCGTGCAGGCAAAGTCCGGCATGGGCAAGACGGCGGTGTTTGTGTTTGCGCTCCTCGAGCAAATTGAGAAGGTCGCCGACGGGCAGAAGCCGCACTGCCAGGCGATCGTCGTCGTGCACGCCCGCGAGCTCGCCTACCAGATCGAGCAGGAGTTCAAGCGCTTCAACAAGTACCTCCCGTACTGCACCACCGGCGTGTACTTTGGCGGCATCCCAGAGGACGAGAATGTGCGGCAGCTGAAGAAGGAAGTGCCGGCGATCGTCGTGGCCACGCCGGGCCGCCTCGCCGCACTCATTCAACGCAAGGCCCTCGATGTTTCGCGCGTGAAGTGGTTCGTTGTCGATGAGTTTGACAGGTGTCTGGAGGATGTAAAGATGCGCCGTGATGTGCAGACCGTCTTTCTGAAGACACCAAAGGAGAAACAGGTGATGATGTTCTCCGCCACCATGACAGAGGATCTGCGCAATGTCGCTAAGAAGTTTATGACAAACCCAACAGAGATTTACGTGGATCAACGGGCAAAGTTAACACTTCACGGACTTGCGCAGTTCTATATGAACGTCACAGAGGCTCAGAAGCTGCGGAAACTCTGCGATATTCTCGATGCGGTGGAGTTCAATCAAGCTATCATCTTCACCTCATCGGTGGAACGCTGTGAGGCGCTTAGCCGTCAACTGCAGTCACTCAAATTCCCTGCCATGGCGATTCACTCCCACATGGATCAACAGGAGCGTCTCCGCGTGTATGAAAGCTGCAAAACAAACCACACCCGCATTATTGTCGCAACCGATCTTTTTGGCCGAGGTGTTGATATTGATCGTATCAATCTTGTTGTGCAGTTTGATATGGCATCAGATGCTGACTCTTATCTGCATCGTGTGGGTCGTGCCGGTCGGTTTGGTACGAAGGGACTCACCGTGGCTTTCCTCACTGAAGAGGAAAAGGAGATTAAGCGTGAAAACCGCAAATACACCGATCATGGCGTCATGAAGGAGGTACAAGAGCGGTTTGAAATGCAGGTACAGGAGTTAACAGATATCAGCACTCAACTTAATCAGAGCCAGTACATGAACCAGTAGACAGTAGGCGAGGAAGTGTGGAGGAGAGGAGGAGAGGATACAATATTGAAAACGGAGAAATAAGAGGTGTACGACATATACATATACGTATATATATATATATATATATATATATATATAGTGGGTGTATATGTGAATATGGATACATCTGTTAAAGGAGGGAGAAGAGACGAGGTTAAGAATAATAAAAAACAAAAAGGAGAGAATGAGAAAGAAGGAAAGAGATAGATAGATAGATATATGGAAAAAGAAAAGAAAAAAAAAAACGTCATAAAGAAAGATGATATGCATTATTTTCTTTCTTTTTCGTTTCTTTATCTATCTTTCTATCTTTCTATCTTTATTAACCACCTCCTGTGATTTCTCCGTTTTCTTTTTTTTTTTTTTTTATTTACTCTTTTTTCTTCCTTCCAGCGTTTACTTCGTCTTTCTTTCTCTGTATCCATATGTCTTGGTTTATTTCTCACATGATTTACCTCCATCCTGCTGCAAGCATTAAATATATGGTGCAGAGACAAGGTCGAAAAGAAGAATATATTTTAAGAGAAAGAAAAACCCAAAATGGAGTTGGGCGAAGTGAGGACAATATACACAGAGAAGGACAGAAAGAGAAAGATAGAGAGAATAAAAAGAGAGAGAGAGAGAGAGAGAGAGAGAGAGAAGGAAAAAAAAAGAGAAACGAAGAGAATGCCGAAGTCCTGAAGAGCGAAAAAAAAAAGCGAGGATGGGAGAGTATGTGAAGGAATAGAGAAGGTGATAGAAAAAAAAGAAAAGAGGATGTGTGTCTTTGTATGTGTCTGTATATGTGTGTTTGTATTCGTCTTTATAAAAATTTAAAAGACACAGTAAGAAATTGGGTAACAAAGTAAAAGAAGTCGCTGTGTCTAAGATACAATAATAGATAATATCACATATCCCACATAATATAATTTCTGGGTGTATATATATATATATATATATATATGCCTCAACACGTTTTTTTTTTTGTTTTTCTCCCTTCATCCATCCACCCTACTCCACCCATTCAACTTTTTAGTTTAAGCCGTTGAAAAAGAAGTAAAGGACTCTCAGGTGAGTTTGCTCGATTATTATCTACTTCCATTTTTCCTGTTTATATATATATATATATATGAATGAAGCATAGTCCTATTATTATTATTTTTACAATAAAAACAAAAAAGGAAAGGAAGGTGGTTTAGTAGATGGTAATAAGAGGGAAACAATAAATTAGTAGCGGCAAAAAGCAAGGGAAAGCACACACCACTATATTTCTAATGATCGTTATTATTATTGTTATTATTATTATAATCGTTATCACCTCTGTCTCTGTTGATCTATGTGAGGAGTCGCACCCTGTTCGCCACTTTTTAAATTCGTTTTTTTCTTGTCTGCGGCGTCTCCCTCTTTTTTTTTCTGTATTCCCTTTAATTGGACTCATCATGATATGACGGAACTGCTCTGTTTTTGTTGGCTTTCCTACAAAAAAAAAAAAAAAAACTGTATTGATTTTTCTTTTACTATAGTAACTTCTCATTTCTTTTTTTTTTCTTTCTTTTTTTATATTTGGTTTTGTTTTGTTTTTTATACATTTCTCTTGATGTGGTTAAACTGCTCTGTATTCCAGAAGAGTGCTGTGTTTAACAGTTACATCTCTTCTTGTTTAGAAAGTTAGAGTGAGGAAACAGCGAGAGTGGAGTAGATTTGATCGATAAAAAAGAAAAAAAAAGAAAGTCACTCTGGGATCGATAGAGCTGATCCTATTAGAGAGAGAGAGAGAGAGAGACGTCTCTTTGATAATAACAATAAAATAAAGAAAAGTAAAGTAAAAAAAAAAAAGGACGGGAGAGAATTTAAAGAAAGAATTTATAGATTCTTCAGACATCAATGCACATTTACGGCAGAGATCAACAAGCTTTTAGGCTGCGACGCTCGTATGGAGAGAGGTTTTTACTGCACTGTTTTACCTTCGTTAGTTGTGTACAGGTTGCATGTTTTCTTCTTGCCATTATTCGTACCTCCAACGCTGCTGGAAATTCCATGGATAACAATTTTTTCTTTAGCACCTCACTAAAACTGAAACCGTTTTACCTAGATGAGGCATGTGGGATAAGGATCACATACTCTAGAACATTCTTTTCCGGTGTAACTTTTCTATTGGATCCATCGAATGTAACTTATATTGTAAGTAGATGTGCAACGAATATACGATTGCTCTTTACATGTGTTGCATTACATCTAGTTGTGTGCGTAATAAATCGTACAAGTGTCTGGGCAGGTGTTCGAGATGTACGCTATCATTTTGTTGTTCTTCGCAAAGATCTCTTTACAATGTGGGAGTTATTTCTCATGGTTGTTTCTTTTGTATTATTGTGGACTGTGAATTCGGAAAACCGGATCTTGGTGCTTTATCTAAGAAGTTGTGGCTATTCTTCAGCAGGGACATTTAGTCAAATATTGCCATACACAGAGCTATATGTTTCTCTCTTCATTTCACTGGCTATTTGGGTATTAAATGCCATTGCAGGAATTTTTATGAAATGTAAGAAAAACCCACGAGATAAATTGCTTAAGGAAGAAATCGCCCAACGAGAATTGTTAAATCAAATGAATGAGTTCAATATAGAGAATGGTGTTCATCATAACCGTGAACATCATTTAACAAGTACGATGGGTTATCATGAAGGTGGAGAGCCCGTGTTGGCATCCGCGGCCACACATGAGATGCCAACTTTAGAGACACAACTCCCGCCAAGAGGTTCAGTCGCTGCGGCGACGGCTCGAACTTCTCAAAGTGTTCTTCCTGCCGCTGTGGCCGCTGCGGCTGCGGCTCCCTCCTCCTTTTCGTTTGGGCCGAGTGTCAGCCGGCCGCAGACCCCAACCACCGTCGGGCTCGATCCCCGCGGCTTCCCACACGTGGACAGTGCCGCTGATTTGGCGGCGAACGTCTCGTGGAGAAGTCGCGATTTGACGGACCGCGTCGCCTCGACCTCCGCCGTCATTCCGGTCGTCCCAACAGGCACCGGCACCGGCACCGGCACCGGCTCATCCTCCCGGTTTCAACCACCACCTCCTCCACCATCAGCCAATGCGAGAAGATCCGGGCAACACGATGGTGCCACAGAAGATACTGTAGAATTATAGTTAAGAGATTTTCAACCTCTATTGCATACTTTTTTTTTTTATGTTTTTTTTGCTTTTTGTAAAGTCATTACAATTAACTATTTGTATTTATATATATATATATGTGTGTGTGTATTTTGAGCTGTTGTGTTTTTTTTTTCCCCCTCCTTCTTCTTTTGTGGTTCTTCTTCTTTTTATTGTTGTTGTTGTTATGGGTCCAACACTCGGGAGGGTTGATATGTCGAAGAATACATAATATAGTTGCATCAGAGTTTTTTATTTTTATTGTGTACTGTTCTTACATTCAAAGAGAAAAAAAGAAAAAAAAAAACTGAACGAACAAAGGGTGAATGTGGGGTGGAAGAGAAAAAGCAAAACAAAACAAACATAATAACAACAACACCGGAAACTCTGTTATCCCGTCTTTATTATTACTGTTCCTACACAGTGCAAAAGGGTTAACAATCATTACAAGAAGAAAAACGATGGATTTACCAAGTTGAGAATATGATGAAGGTATCACCAGTAATATTTCTCTGGGATGCCATTCTTTGACGCCTTTTTCTTCTTGTTTTGAAGTTCTTTCTTATGTTGTCAAGGTAAGATAATATATATATTGTGTACAGCCTTGTTTCTCTCTCTCTCTCTCTCTCTCTGTGTGTGTGTGTTTGAATATGCGTATTTGTATTTGTATAAATGTGTTTCTATATTGATACCACATGTTACAATTTCTTTTTAATAATAATAATAATAAAATATATATATATATGTTTTTTTTCTGTTTCTTTTTTTACTCTTTTACAGGACACGAGAGCAAGCGAAGGAAAAAGAAAATGGCAGCCCCACAGGAATACGCGCGCGTGCACTCCGTCGACTTGACGCTGCAGCACGAGAAGGCGTACCAGCGCCAGACGGCCGTCAACGAGAACAGCCACAAGCCATCCAAGAAGCATGTGAACATGAGCGGCCACATCCGGTACTCCAAGAAGATTGGTCTCGGCTTCAAGACCCCCAAGGCGGCTGTTAACGGTAAGTACATCGACCGCAAGTGCCCATTCACCAGCAATGTGTCCATCCGCGGCCGCATCCTGCGCGGTGTTGTGCACTCCACCAAGATGAAGCGCTCCATCGTGATTCGCCGCAACTACCTGCACTTCATCAGCAAGTACCAGCGTTACCAGAAGCGCCACCGCAGCCTGACGGTCCACTGCAGCCCCTGCTTCGACCCCAAGCCCGGTGATGAGGTGGTGGTTGGCCAGTGCCGCCCACTGAGCAAGACCATTCGCTACAACGTGCTGGAGGTGGTCACCAAGTCTGCTGCTGATAAGCTTGGTAAGAAGTTTGCCAAGAACTAGTGGGAGCAATTTGGTAGCACAACTGCCTAGAACCATTCGCTGTCATGTCCATTGGGAACGATGAAGGATACCCATAGGGAGAAACATGAACGTACCCTTCTCGTTACTTTGTTCATTTATTGATTTGTTCTTTTTTTTTTCCGATATTATTTCCTCTTTTTTTGTGGGGTCACTTTGTCCGTGGCCTTTTTTTTTTTTTCTTTGGTTGTTGTCATACTTGACTACTACCTTCTTGAAAATAAAAGAAAAAATAATAATAAGGTTGAAACTTTTTTGTACATGACTGTTTTTCTTTTTCTTGTTTTGTTTCTTGTTCTTTTTTTTTTTTCTTTTTACTGTTTACCTCTTCTACGCGGTCCTTCCACCCAGAACCTCAGCTGGTAGTGGTAGTGGTTGTGGTTGTGTGGAAAAAGGATTATTAGGGCATTGCTGTGAAAGTAAGATAAAGAAGAAACTTGCGTGGAATACATATTTGGATTAGATGGCTTGGCGGTACGGGTCTGGAACTGGTAATAGTGCCCCAAACACAAATACCGGTAATACATTTACATTTGGCACGAACCAGAACAGTTTAGCAGGACACGCGGCTACGGGGAGTGGTATATTTAGTAATACTCCAAACGCCATTTTTAATGCAGGGGCATTTTTACGTAGTAATGCTGCTCCTGTTCTGGATCCCAAACAACGAGAGGAAGCGGAAGGGGAGGATGAGACAGAGTTTAACGATGAAGTGAGTTCAAGTAGACGAGGTAGTACCAGTGTGTTGGAACACTCAAAAGGTACTATTAATAATCATATGGTGGAATCTTCACAGGGTCAACCTGTTTTTGGTCGTGCTAATACTTCAATAAAACCATTAGGTGGTGCTTTCTTGCGTAATATAGCTCAACAAGGTAATGCTTCTGATACTACGAATAGTACAAATAAAACATCATGGGGGAAGAGTGTGTCGAATATTCAACCACGAAAACTTTTTGAGCGTTCAGTACTACCAACAGATGCTGCAGAATATGAGGATGATTATTATGAGGAAGATGGTGAAGAAGGAGATCGTGAATTTCTTCGAAACACCAAAGCATTATTTGCAGAGGTAGATGCTGATCTTCTCTCTGATTCCTTTATACCATATGAACATGTTTTACAAATTATTTCTTCTGATGATGGAACAGAAGCTACTGCTGGTGATATTGATGATCGACTTTTGCCATACTATGAATTACAAGAAGAATTAGATGATTTATTAGGAAAGTATATAGAAGTTCATCATGATGAATTTAATGAAGCTATTTCAGGATTTTCTGAATTAATATTGGCCGTTTCTGGTAGTGATGAGATGTTAGCACGTTTAAAACAGCAATTAATTATGGCAACAGCATCTCTTCATAATCGTTCGGAACAATTACAAGTTTTGCGAATGCGAGCTGCAAAGGCTCTTCTTATGACTGAATCACTTAAAGGTCTGGAATCTTCTCTTTCATGTGAATCAGCAGTAAAACAGTTAATTGCGACACATCACTATCTTGCAGCTCTTCGTTTATTGAAGAAACATAAAGAACGTTTAGAGATGCCAGAGTTTACTGATATTCGTGCTACACAGACGTTGCGAGATTATGTAAATGGAACATTAGAAACCCTTCATAATACTATTATTGATGATTTAATGAGTACTGTCTTTCGTCAGGGAAAATTAAATGAGGCGGATGCTCAGTTAGTAGATCGCATGTTAGCAGATGGTGCATCTGAAAAACCATCTGGTACAATGGATAATCTTGAAAGAATGTGTGAAGAAGCACAAATGCGGGGAAGTGATATGGATAAATCTATTGTAACATTTTCTGGTTTTCTGGGTGATATTCACGATGATCCTACTGATGAAGATATGATACGAAATTACCTACGCTTTATTCCACTATGTGTTCGAGCATTAAAGGAACTTGATAAATTAGATCTCTGTTATGAAGCCTTTTTCTCTCATGCGGCATCTAATATTGAACAAACCATTTCTCACTTCTTACGTCTCTACGGTGTTTGGCGTAGACGAGCCCTCAGCGCTAATAGTGTCGCTGGATGTTCAGATGCCTCCACTGTTCGGGCCACTCGCGTACAGGGAAGAGAACGCGCCTCTACCATTATTTCTACTGATGAGGCAGCGGCCGTCATTCAAGCACCAGAACTGCGAGCCATGTTGAATGCTCTCTTTGCAGAGATGGGGAAAGTTGTACGTAATGCAGATTATCTTATTAGAGTTATTCTCACCATACACTTTCCTTTTCTTGCCTCTTTTGTGATTCAACCAGGAGGGTTTGATCCAGAGCAATCCTATGAAAATTGGGATATCTTACATGCACCTATTCGTGATCTAAAGGATTTTCATGAAATGGTTGCATCTGCTTTTTCAACAGCACTTTCAATGCGTGAAGGACTTCAACGACATGTAGGGGATGAAAGCCAGCAAAGTATTGATGATGATGATAATACAGATATAGTTTCACTAAAACGATTAATGGTAAAATTTGATGTAGATGGTACATTTGAAAAATTTGAATCATCTGGAAAGGCTGTATGTTTCCAAGATGTACGTAATGCTATTAATGTGGCAGGAGAAGCCGTAAAACACGATTTCCCTGAAGAAGGAGAAGAGTTAGGAGCGTGTTGTTCTGAAGTGGATAGTCTTATATTATCTTCATTACTACAGTATTTCCGTCATAATGTAAAGGAAATGTATGAACAATGGGATCTGCGTGTTCTCTCTTCACAAGTTAGTTATTATATTGAACTTATCTTTCATGTACTCTGTGATGCCAAGGAGGTGGAGGAGGATACCAGTGATGAGATTGCCCTTAAGGCATTTCTCAAACATCGCAATCTTGTACGTCGTGTACAGAGAACAGCAGAAATGATGAATAGTGGAAATGTTGAATCATTCCCTTCACTTGAAAAGATGTTATCCGCTCAGGACGCATCTGGAATGCTTACAGTAGTGGAACAAACTGGACGTGTTTCTTTTAGTCTTGTGGCGGCTGTTAAATGTGCACAACGAGACTTGCGAAGGTTTAATGAAGGACAAGTACGTCAATACGGTGGAGATCCTGCTCTTGCAATGGGAGAAGGAAATATTAATATAAAGAGTGGAGATAACCGTGGTGGATTACTCGTTTTAAAACAAGCAGGAACATTAAAGAATTGGTTTGTGTTAACACCAATGAATCTTTTAACGTGTTATGAGTGTACCCGTCGTTTTTTTCAATCTTGTAGTGAACGTGTCCCTCGTCTTTCGAATGCTTTTCAGAATGAATTAAGAGAATTTTTTCGTCACTTTCTACAAACAACTTATATACCTACATTGTTTATGTTTCATGCCCAACAATTACGGCAGTTGTGTGCGGGCGTCTCGGAAGGTGATGGTTTAATGGGAAGTGAAACTGTTTCTACTGGAGAGAGAGATAAAACAACATCCACGTGGTCTTCGGAACAGGCAACATCGATAGAACCACTTGTACACCACCAAAAGGGACAACAAAGTGGAATTAAATGGCCAACCGTTGATGTTCGTCAAAGCAATGGTACAACAAACATTGGTAAAAACACCACCACTAATAATAATAATAATAATAATAATAATAATAATAATAATAATAATAATAATAATATTGATACTAATAGTAATAATACTAATACTAGTTATCCCGTTTTGGCATGCGTATACTACGTTGGTCAAGTGCTTTATAAGGTATCTAGAATATGCCGTCTATTCCCTGATGTCCTTGCAGAAGGAATTCAACAAAATATTGCAGAAACTCTTTTGACTGAACTTACTATGTTTTTAAAAAAGAAACAACATTTAATTACACAAGGATCGTTACACCATCGTTTACTCTCTGCGAATTTTGAAGATGCATTTTATGATAATCCCGATGCACGATGGAAAGCACTAAGTGATGAAACACAATTACATAGTGCTCATAGTGCTGTTGATGCTGATATTTTTCAATACTACGCATATAATAATGAGCAACGCACAAGTGGTCATCAATATATTCGTACGACTCCAAGTAATATACATGAGATTTTTGGTGTAGCCGGGGGTGAGAGTACTACTGGAAGTGTTGATAAGACTATTCTGGAACCATCTATTGGTTCCAGTTCCGCAGCAGAATTAGCACTGAAAGGAGATAGTATTATTGTAGCACTTGCCATTTTGTGTCATTCTATGGAATGGCTGTGTGATGTTGCCCTTTCCACACTTGGCCCAGATGATTGGCAATTGGAAGATAGCAGTAAGAGTCTTGTGCCTGGCACGGTGTTTTTTCAGCGATATGCACAATGGTCTGAATCTCCAGCAGCGGCTGCGGCGTTAGCAATGACAACGGGAACGGGGGATACAGCACGTTGGGTTCGTTTGAGTGGTATTCTTAAACAAATGTATTCCCTTTCACAAGTGTGTCTCTTTTCTCTCTCTATTGAGGCTCGATTTGTTGCTTTTCAGTTTATTCCACAATTACGTGATGAGTCCTATAATATTGTGGCTACTGCATCTTCTGCAGATACATTTATTCAGGCATACAATCGTCGCATCACGAGTTTTTTTGCACTTTTAAAATTACACTTGTCGGAAAATAAACTAAAATATATAGGAATTACGATTGCGAAACCATTAAGTGATCTTATAATGGTAGAACTTTCTCATTTGCGTGACAAATCCATTTCCCCTGCAGGACTCGCCCGACTGAATGTGAATTTACTTTCAATAGAGACTGCACTCTTATTACTCTTACCGATTGATGATGAAGTGCGAGTGGCGGTGAAACAGCAGTTAAAGCGTCCCGCTACATTTTTAAAGTATTTGCCAAATAAAGATGTTACGAATGATCTCATGACTAGTGGAGATTATAGACAGTTTTCCACTGAAGAAATGGAAGAACTCTTAAGACTTGTTTTTCGCCAAGAGAAGAATCAAGAAATTGTGACACAACAGATTGAACTATTACATGAAAAGCTGCGAAGTGTAGTTTCTACACTCGCCGCCGCTCAACGGCCAGCCTTAAATGCGATAACTCCTTCACAATCATTATCATTAACATCCGTGCCACCTGTTGCAGGAAAACGAGAGCAGAAACCACAGGAAAAACAACCACCGAAAGTACAAGAAAAGGTACAACAAAAGGAAGAAGAAGAAGAGGAAGAGGAAGAAGAATCAGAAGAAGAAGAAGAATCGGAGGACAATGATGGTGATGCTGATAAGATTGTACCGAAGACAGTGGAACGAGAAGGACCGCGATATGTGGATCCTAACAGTGCCATGGCTTCACCTCGTGGGCCGGCAGCAGCACAGGGTGCGAAACAAGGAGAGATGCGGGGTCAAGTGCCTCAACACTCAAAGAACGAGTCGGAAGAGGAGGAAGAGGAAGAGGAAGAGGAGGAAGAAGAAGAAGAAGAGGAAGAAGAAGAAGTTGGTGATTTTTCGCGTCACTAGCATAACATAAAATAGATATCTCTTACGATGGTGAAGAGGAATTGTTGTGTTTCTTCAATTGCTTATATATATATATATATATATATATATATATATATATAATTTCTGTAAATTATATGCTGTTGCTCCAGTTGTGGCAGCAGAAGACTATTGCGTCTGTGTACTATTGTAATGGGAGTAGTGTTACAAGTGTGCGTTATTTTGATTCGGAAGTATTTTTCTTTTTTTATTATTATCTTGGAGCCGTATTATTTCTGCTTTCCCCACCTTTTTCTTGTTGAAGGGTGTTCCAATACTGTGTGTTCTATTATAATTTCTATTTGGTTTGGGTTCATAATGTGTTTTTTTCCCCTGTTTTTTTTTTTTTTTTGTTTCGCTATCTTTCTTTTGAGATTTACTGGTTCTATATACATTATTAAAAAAGAAGGTTTTGAGGCGTACGTGAAAACGTCTAATTTACCACATATGACGGTGCATCTACAGAGCAGCAACAATAAGAATGATACTAGTAGTAATAGTAGTATTATTAGTAGTGCGAACCATAATAGTAGTAACAACAACAACAGCAGTAACTACTACAGAAATGATATGCAACGCCACCCTCCTCCTCTTACACTTCAATGTATGCGATGTCAACAACGTATAATTTGTTGTCCTGGATGTGGGACGGCGAATTTGATCATTCTTGACAGCCATGTATCTCACGATAGTTGTTTTCCCACTACGAGTACTCATAATAGTGTTTCTAATGTTGTTATGTTTGGTGATCGTAATAGTGGGAGTGTCTCTCTCCCCTGCGGTGGGCAGCCTGCTACCGCTGTTGATGAGAGAAGAGTGCAGATGTCTTCACATGCATCGCCGACGGCGTTTGAAATGTTCTGCCGCGACGCAGAGGCTCAACGTTGTCTTTCAGAGAAGAGCGAAACTGAAGAAGAGCGCTGCAGCAGAAGGCGTCTGCTTGCCGAGATGTGGCTCTCCGCAGATACGGCCACACGAGAACACTTTGAAATGGCCGCTGCGGCAATCACTACTGCTGTTGAAAGTCATTCTATCCATCCTTCTCATACTGCAAGGCCCTCCCGTACAGGAGATCGCAGATGTGTAAAGACGGCGAAGAGACAACAAGTGACCTCACCTGCTACTGTGGATGCGGCTGAAAAAACATCGTCCATATCGTCTAAAGTGCTGAACATTACGGTGAACACTGGAATTACATTAACGTGGACTCGTAGGCGTCCACCAACGGCGTACAGTCTCTTTTGTAAACACCAGTGTGGAAGCTATAAGACTAGCGAAGCCCTGATGTGTGCATGGAAGATGATGAGTCTGGAGGAGAAGAAACCATATGATGATGGAGCAGCTGCCATTCGAGTAGCATTACAGAACTGAAGTAATATATATATATATATATATATATATTTGTTTATTTTTTATCTTTGCCTCTGTAAGAATATCTATATGGTTTATTTATTTTTTTATTTATATATTTTTAAAAGTATTTAGTGTAAAAGTGGGGTTTGTATATGTCTCTCCAATTATGTATTGAAATATACTGTACTAAAAACAGATTATGTGGTTTACTAAAATATAGTTTTATTTTTTATTTTTGTGGTACGGATGATAATATTGATTCCGAGGTAATTGATGGTACTCTTAAAAAAGAAAAAAAAAAAAAAAACAGATAACAACAGGAGAAACATCTGTTACTAATCAATTGAATGAAAGAAAAGAAGTACAATAATAATAATCATCATCATTATCATCATTAATATCATGAATGTATTATTTTTCCCAGTATTATTAAATTTTCTCCTTTTTCTTTTTTTTTTACTTTTTATTATTATTCTTATTAACATGGTTTTCTCCACAAAACAGGGTGAGGGAGTGTCTCACGCTTGAATGTGGAGCAGCAACAACAACAACAATAATAATAGTAATAATAACAATAATGTTCCCGCTGATACTGCGGTAACACTCTACTTTGTTGTCTTTCCATGCAACTCTGCCCCAATATTCCACTCCAACCGCATTCCACGACGAGATGATACACCACCGTATACACCAGGCGATGTGATCTACTTGGGGCCCGCAGAAGAAGTGGCACAGGAGAAACTGCAGGGATTGGCGTTCCCGCTCGGTCTTCCCTCGAAGAGTGCCGTAACGCAGCGTGGACCACTTTGGAGTTCCAACGTGGAGTTTGTACGCAAAATGGGGGATGTGCGGTACGTACGTCTTATGATTGCATCTACTTTTGTGGTTTCAGTTGCCTCTGAGACAGAGAAGATGCGTACAATGCATACAAAGCACGCCGCCGTGGCACTTGTTATTACTTGTCCACCGGATAAACCGTACTATCAACTTTTACTGGATAACTTTGATGGTATAATGAGACAACTTTTACATATTTCCCTTGAATTTGCAATGGGTGCAACACAACAATTTTTTTTTAGACTCTCACGCACATTGACCGCCGTGCGACTGGCATCAGAAATGGAAAGACAGGATTACGCATTGCGTACATACCAAACGTTGGCATCCGTACTAGTGAATGCTTTCACACATAAGTTTTCTATACCGCGAATACATAGTCGAGCGGGTGAATTAAACGTTGATAGTAAGTACGTTTCTTCTTCTTCTTCTTCGAATATACCACAGGTTGCTAAAGTTTCAGTGGTTTGCTTAGTGCACGAAGCGTTATATTATTTACGTCGTTTTAATGAAGAGTTTACTAGTGCTGTATTAGCAGGATTATTGTCACTTTCGAATTGGGAAAGTTATGGACTTATTTCGCATCCACGCAGGTATGGAGATGAGCAACATAACCAGCAGCATCAAGACTTTGCTGCTGCTGCTGATGATGATGATGATGATGAAAATGATAGTAATTACAATAATGATGATATCTATAGCGATTACTGGAAAATTATGGAGGCGAGGGAAAAATATACCCTGACATCGCCTGAACAAAGACTTTCTAGCGACAAAAGCAGTAGTAGCAGCAGCAGTAAGAGTAACAGTAATGACGCTGCTCCAAAAAATGACTGGAGTGAAGATGTGAAGTTCACAGAGACATCTTCTGCTGTCTCTGCAGGAAATGATAGTCGAAGAACAAGTGATGTTATGGGAGTTGCAGGCGCTGCAGGAACCAGAACGACTTGCTCACTTAGCTTAAATCGTAAAGGGCGTGTAATTATATTCTCTACAGACCCTAAACAAGCACGATATTTACTTATTATAGCAGCCTTTTTCTTTCGTGACAGTCCTATTGCAGCACGATCGACAGGTCATTCCGTTAATCCAATTCCTTTTGCAGCAAAAGTTGATTCTTGTGCCTATTCATCTTTACCGGTTCAGTGGGTGGCTCAGGAGTATGATCCACACAGAGTGAAAGAACTTCTCTGTTCACCGCATTCCGTTGAGAATACTGTATTAATTATTGCCCCACGCGCGATGGTGTGTCGCAGATTACGTCTCGTAAAGACGTTTAGTACGAACCCTATTTTAGTGGAAAGGTTCCGTGAGCGTTTTCAACCTGTACGTCCTTTTCAATCCCAGTTGGTTAATGATGAGGAGATGCGGTCAGATAACACAGTGCGTGCCGCACTAAAGGAGGCACTATTTCTACACGAAAAGACGGATGGTGTAGTAAATTGCGTTGAATTTCTTGAATATTTTATTATATGGATTCTACGACGAAGTTGTACCTCTCATCGACTTCAACAACTTCAAGAAGGTGAGACAAAGTCGTTCGTTTCTTGCGATTTGCTCACTACCAATAACCCTCATGCCTTGAGTTTTTCACTCGGCAGTTTCGGTTCAATTGGATCCGTTTCTTCTTTACTACGGCCAGATGCTGAGGGTGGTTTTTTTCGTTTTAGTCGCTTTTTCAACCACAAAAAATCGTCTACGACTAGAGTTTCTGGTGGTAATGCTTCTCCAGCAAATGGTCATTCCCGTGCGTATGCAGTTGGATTCACCGATATGGATTTGGAGGATACAACGGTAGGATCACAGCTGATGCGTTTGCTTACAGAGTATTATGAAGAGGCCCCATTAGTCTCTCTGAGATCTGGTAAGGGATATGTGAATCGGATTGAGGGATAACAAAAGAATGCGAATCCGAGAATGAGAGGGGAAAAATGAATACAATATCAAAAATTTGACAAAACGAAAGAAAGAAAAAAAAAAAAAATGTGTTATCCGATAGCATAAATAAGAACTGTACCCTATTTTCAATTTATTTGTATACTAATTTTCTCTGTATTGACCTTAACTATCTTTATTTCTTCCCCTTTTTTTCTTTTCTTTTTTTTTTGTGGTTTTGGATTTCACTGTTCTTTTATTATTATCATTATTATTATTTGAAAATCCAAGTGTTTTTATTTTTTTCTTTTAAGGTGTAGGGGACGTACAGAGGCGCTGTGGTGTGCCTGGGAAAAAGGGGTCTATTAGTACCATCTAAAAAAAAAAAAAAAAAAGAACGAAGGGAGAAAAAAAAAAAAAAAAAATAGTATCGACTATATTTGCTTTCTTTTTCAGCTGTTAAAGATAGATTTAAGAGTTCTGAGAGATATGCTTTCTTCAAGTCGACTTTTTTCACGTGCGGGTGCTGCTGAGCCCATTGTGCCATACCGAAAGGGGAGTTACCATATTGTTCCAAAGAAACATACAGTGGGAAGACGCATTGCCGTACGCAACTATCTTGATCGTAATCGAACTGAACTTTCGGACCGAACATATATGCCACAAAAGGTGTGGTTTGAATCATATGCACCAAAACAATTTGAGCGTGATCATGAACGACTCAGTCATAATTTTTACAACATTGAAACTAAACTTATTTGGACTGCATTTGATACTCCAGAATTAATTGGTATTCTATTACATGATGAGACACTTAAAGGTGCTACACACCTCTACAGCGCTGAATTTCTTGATGCTGCAATACATTGGACTCGTGAATGTCGATATTGGCGTTGTATTGGTATTACTAAACCCTTTTATGATAAACATACATTACGAGCTCACTGTTGGCATGATAAGGGTATGCAAGTAGGTACACTTGTTCTCTCACAGGCTATGCGACATGCACTTATGGATTTAGAACGAGCTGTACGACGTAAAGAACTGGGACTGCAACCGAACTACTTATGGGACCGTTGGGGACCTATTGGTTTTATTGACGGTGCGCAAGCGGATTACCTCCCACGTTTCGCTCATAATCCTTACATTGATCCTGATGGTGTGGAAGTGACGGAACTTGATGTAGCACCTTTTAACACACATGAACAAATTAGGGAACGTTATGCTGAGTTTATTGAGCCTGATCTTCGACCGTTTGAAGGAGTCTTCCGGGCTCCATCGCATGGGGGTCTCACACTTGATGACATGCCGAATCAAGAGGTAGTAGAATTATACCGGGAATTAAAAGCGAAGAGTGGAAGTCCTGTAGTTCTCGCTGGTGGGGCAGAAATTCCACCTGCGGATATGCGGGCACTTTTCTACCTTACTGTGGATGCGGACCTTCTGCGTGTGGCGCGTGGACTTGACACGTGGTCTGCGGTGCGTGAGATGCTGCAGCCGGTGCAGGAAGAACATGATGAGAAGGTGGAGGCACTGCGTCTGCTGGAGAACTTGCGGTACGATGCGGGTCGCGTACGTTCCTTCCTGGAGGAGAAGTGCGGGTTTGCCGACTTTTCCCGCACGCCTGACGTGGTGCTGACGGCGGCGGTTCTTTGTGCGTTGAAGGAGTTGCGGCGGGTGGCGTGTGAGACGCCGTGGGGTCCTGCTGCCATTTCCATGAAGGGAGAAGGACTGTGGAGAAGAGAAAAGAAAGGAGGAGAAGAGATGGAAACGGGAAAAAATAATAAAGAAGAAAAAGTAGGGGAGTTGGCAATAGAAGTGACTCGATGTGTGGAGGGGGCGCTGCGGGATAAACGCCGCCGGTTGTGGGCTACTCGTTTCGCCGCCGACGCCCGCGAGGAGTCGACGCTCGATTTTCTTCTGGAGAACTTCGGCCGCCGCGCAGAGCCCGCACGCAACGCCGGCACCACCGGCACGGAGTTCGATCGCGAACAGGAGCCCATCGGCCGACAGGTGCAGCGCCGCGTTGTGGATGCCGATAAGGCGCAGAAACTCGCAGAGGCGCGACAGCAGAAGGGAAGAATGTGGTCCAAGAAGAAGAGTGTCTTTGATTCACTCCATCAGAAACAAACACAGAACGTCACCTATGGTGTGCGATAGTCAGAAACAGCAGTTAGTTTGTGTGTTTAACTTTCTCATGATGATGTGTGGTTGGAAAGGCGGAATAAAGTGGTGTGGTGCAGCGAATAGTTCTTGTTGTTGTTGTGGTGGTGGTAATGGTGTGAGTTGGAGTGGTAGTCGTGTTCTTGCTTACTAGTGGTTCTCTAATGGTGTTTTACGGACCTTCATCATCGTTTTGTCATCTCACACTGTTGAGGAAACACTGTTTGGTGGGACCTTCTTTTATTTTTGCAAGTAAACTGACCAATCCCAAACTTTTTTTTTATATATATATATACATTGTGTATTCTTTCTCTGTGTATCTCTCCTTTTTATTTTATTGAACAACAACAACAACAAAAAAAAATAACCACTACTTTGACATTGATGTTTTTTTTTTTATTATTCATTCTTTTTTCTTTTCTTCTTTATTTTTGATTGGTGTTTTTTCTACTAGCAAAGCCACAGAAAACTGAAGTTGTAGCAATCTTACAACAGGGTGAAAGGAGACAAGTTAGAGAAGATCCCCCCGCAAAAAAAAAAAAAAAAAGAAGAAAAAAAGGTTAGGAGGGTTAGGAGGTCAACATTTTTTTTTTTTTCTTCACGTCTTTTTTTTACTTGTTTTTTTTTTTCTCTCTTGCCCTACCGGGAGTATTAGTTAGAAACACATATTCGTCTATTCAACGGTAGAGGGTTACAAACTCACATAGACAAAAGAAAATACAAAAGAAGAAGTAGGAAAAAGAAGGAAAAAAAAAAAAAAACAAGATTGCAAACAATAACATCAAAAAAAATATAAAGTACAACGAAGACAAACTATTTTGGACCGTACTCAAGAATAACAAGAAAGGGCCAATAAGAACAGAAAGAAAAAGAAAAAGCAATAGTTTTTCTTTGTTTCTTTTTATTTGTCTCTCACTCCCTTCCCTCTCTCTCTCTCTCTTAGTGTGTTTATTTTTGTACTCTGGGAGAGAGAGAAAGAGAACGAGAAGAGAAATACTTAGTGAGTGAGTGAGTGAGTAAGTGAACAATAGAAGAAAGAAATATATATATATATATATATTTAGTCTATGTCTTCCCATACACCACCGCAGCTGCTCGGCAGACAACCGCGACGTCGGCCCAATCAGCATAGGCTCCCACCACTGATGGTTCAACCCACACCACCAGTGCGAACATCACCGCCGTTGTTAAGCACGACGACCAGCACCGATACCGTCTCTCTCCATCATCCTTCCAAAGGGATGGATACATCACGCCGCCGCAGTTCCTCTCCACGCAATTGTTGTAGTGTTACCGCCGTTGGGCCCCGCGTGCATGCGGACTCCCGCACGACAAGTTGCCCTGGTGGCCGGGATGGTGTTAGTTACGCCGTAGAGCACCGTTTGCCAAAGTTGTTGAATGACATGGTGGACGATATGTTGCGGGAGCGGCCGGAGAAGGACGTGGACACGTGGATGATGCAGTGGTTTGAGCGGGCGTATTTGCGTCAGCAGCAGGATGAATCCAAGCAACACGGCACCCGACACCCACAATCACAATCACAATCACAATCACAATCACAATCACAATCACAACTACACCAACAAGAACACGAACAGAAGGAAGAGGACTCTCATGTGGAGGAGACATCATTGTGTCTTCTTGAAAGTACAAGTGGGGTGTCGAGTGCGGGTGATAGAAAGAGCAGCCACGCACGGCCGTCGCCAGTGGTATCGTGTACTGCAAAGATGTCTCCATCCGCGCCAACAGTGTCTCTTGCACCTCCACGCAATGCAGGCAATGGAGTGACGAATTACATATCACCAACAGAGCCGTGCAATCCCAACTCGATGGAATCCCCGTGTCGTTACCATTCAGCTCTGCATGCCTATCCGGCCGTATCGCAATCCGGCTTCCCTGCAGGTGGTAGTAGTAGCACGAGCACGAGTAATGGTAATAGTAGTAGTGGTGGGAGCGGCAACAGCAGCCCCGGCAACGGCAATTGTGGTCCGCCGGTGTCCGCCATCGTCGCCCAACGTTCACTCCCCGCCCCGCAGCCGCCGCGACTGCACTCCGCCGGGGCCGAGCCGCAAACACCATCGCCGCAGCCACAACCGCCGCAGCAGTCACAACACAGCGTGGGGCGTATACCGCGCGGTGCGGAGATACGATTAAAAGTTCATTCTGCGCATCTAACAGACATAGGCAGCAGTGATGCACTTTTACCGAAGCCTGTGTGAGCAAAGCAGGAAAGAAAAAAAAGAAAAAAAAAAAAGAAACAAACAAAATCAAGAAAAACAACATCAAAAAAAAAAAAAAAGAAAAATGAACAAGAAAAACAACAAATGAGGATTAATTCTGCCATCTATGATGGTAGGAAAGCATTTCCTTCAGGGATGAAAATATATACATTTATATATTTATATATATATATATAAATAGATAAACAAAAAAAACGAAAAAAAAAGGGATTGGGGGTTTAAAAATGAAAATGGGAAGTACTGAAAGTACACAAAACGAAGAATGATGAGGAAACACCGGTGGAAAAACGAGAAGAATTCCTCTAATATAAAGATTATTTCTCTAGTTTTGTGTTCAACCGAAGAACAACCCATTTTAAACAAGAGGAAATAAAAGAAAACGGTTTCTTTATTGCCTTATATTCGGTAAGAAAAAAAAAAAATGAGGATAAGGAGTAGTAGTAAAATGCAGCATTGCTCAAATGGCGTTTCTTGAGTTATGAGGGTGTGGGACGCCAACACTTTTCCTTATCATCGTCTCTCTTATCTTCTTCTTTTCTGATTATTATTGTTATTATTATTATTATTATTATTATTATTATTTCGATGTATGTTTTGTTTTCCGTTTGTTTACTTTAGCTTTTGTTTTTTTCTGTTACATAAATGGTTTGGTTTGGTACAAAAAATTAAAAAAAGTGAAGAAAAAAGAAAAAAAAAAGGAATTTTTACCGTCACTGTTGGAGGTGGGACCTCAACCTTGTTTTCTTTCCATCTCATTCATTCCTTTATTTCTGTTGGTAGGATTCATGTTCTCTATGATCCCATTTTTATTTAAAAAATTATAAAAATGTATTATATTATACGGATATGATATCAGCATCTGTTTTTTTTTTTTTTTTCTCAAAGATTTTCGCTTTCTTTCTTTTTTTTTTTCTTTTATCAAAATACGAAAAAAATATTTCTTTGACCTTCTCCGTCTTTCTTTCTTTGAAAGCATATACCGATAAACATACATATCATATATATATATATATAGATAATTATATATATATATATATATATATATAGATAATTATATTTACATATGTATGTTTGTTTGATATATCAATCTGTAGTATCTACCCTCCTCCCCACTTGCTAAGACATTATAATATGAATTTCTCTATATATATATGGGAAAGGTAGGGTGAACAGAAACAGCAAACAGCAAAGAAAAAAAAATGTAATGGTAGAATATATATATATATATGTTTATATATAAATGATTCTGTGTTTTTGTCATTGTGCAGTATAAAGAAGAATAAGAAAGGGTACAAACGAAAAGGCAAAGGAGAAATATGATTTAACGAAAAGCACACACACATATATATACACACACACTGAGAGACAGACACACAAAATAAAACAACAACAATCATAACCAACAAACAAGTGTAGAAGTAATAATATAAATAATAAGATAAAAAGTTGTTGCTTTATTTAGACAGTGATACAAGTCAAATATATAAATGGAATGTAGAAGAAATACTTATTTTAGGTGTATCCATATAAATTCATTTGGCCTTATCAGACATTTACTGGGCTCTCTGCTGCTGGTGATCCTTTTTTATTATTACGTGCTGTGTTGCTTAGTCATATTAGCAGGTCTTGCGGGGTATAATTGGGCTCTCGTTTTTTTTTTTTTTCTCTTTTTTCTACCATTTTTTCTTTTCCATATGATTTTTTATTTACGTATTTATCTACTTTATATGTTTTTTTTTTTTTTTTTTGATCTTCTTTGTTTTTCTTTCCGTATATGTCTTCATATTTATTTCTCTCTTTCTATATATATATATATAGATCTGAAGAGTGGGCAATGCAGCACTTTTACTGGTGATGTGTTTTTGCGTTGTGGGAATGAAGAGTAGTGGCGATGAAACCATTGCTGCTTTCTTCTTGTCATTGATGTGTGTTTCTTTTTTTTTTTTTTTAGTTTCTTTTATCTTCATACGTGTGAGTGTGTGTATACTCTCCTTTTTCTCTCTTTCTCTTTCTTTTCATTGATTTCAGTATCAACAACAGTAATACGCTAATTTGCTGTAGTTCCCTTCATTTCTCTTTCTCTTTCTCTTTCTCTTCTGTTGTTTTTTTTTTTTTTTCTCTTTTCTTTCTTCACATGTCCCTTTGATTTCACAATTTCTTTTTTTTTCCGCCTTTTCTTTAATAAGTACTCAGCCAGAGTAGAAATGATCATCCGTTATCGTTAGTGGAAGAGAAGGCGAATGAATGTGTGAAAAATAGGGGGAAAATCATAAAAAGAAAGGAAAAAAAGAAGAGAAGAAATGAATACAATAAATAGTAATAATAATAATAATAATAAAAAGAAAAAGAAGAGAAATTCCTTTTTTTTCCTCCTCGCTTGTCTTTTTTCTTTTTCTTCTTCTGATTGATAGCGTTACGGTGCCGCTCGGTGCCAGAAGGAGTGAATAAAGAAGTACGTGAGGATGAAAATATACACCTTAAGGCTGTATTATTTAATCTATGTATACGTACACATAGTCTATATATATATATATATATAATCATATTTATTTTCTCTTCTTCTTCTTTTTCTTCTTTACAGAGAATATTTGCTTGCCATGCGAGTGATTATGCACAGGTGTTGATGTAAGCGTGTGCATGATTTTTTATTTTATTTTTATTTTACGTTTCTGTGTGTGTGTGTATGTGTTTATTATTATCATTATCAGTTATTTATTTATTTATTTATTCTATGAATCATCTGGACTTGTTTCTTTTTTTCTCTTTATACAGCATCTATCTGATCTCTAAACCGTATTATTTCCTTCTTTCCTTTCTTTTATCTCTATTCGATTTATTCTCATTGTTGTTATTGTATTTATCCATCATCACCCCCTTATCATTAGTCTTTCACACAGTGCTTCTCAGCACCCTCACACCCACACCAGTCAATTAGAGAGAGAGAGAGAAGTGTGGTGAAGTGAAGAAGAAAGAAAGAGAAAAGAACGGAATTGCCTTTCAGTGGAAAACAGCAAAGTTTTTTTTAAACTAGAAGAACGGGGGAAAAGAAGAAGAAGAAGAACAGTAAAATCACAAAGAGATACAAATACACAATCACAAACACAAGTAAAAAAAAAAAAATTATTTTAATAAAAGAGAGAGAAAAAAGGAAAACAAAAACAAAAAAAAAATGTCGACGGAGGTGCCAAAAGTAACGTGTGATGATGTGAATGCACTCGCCAAGATGTGTTCAATATCACGTGAAAAAGACATCACAACACTTAAGGAGTGTTCCTCTAGTCTCTTTGTTCTCCTCTACCAACGCCTATTTAACTGCAGTATTAGTGGAATTGAAACCTCACCTTATACAGTAGATCAGAAACGATGGAATGTCACTCGTGTATTAAATGAACTGAAGGATACACGTGGAATTGATGTGACTGGAATAGACGCAGAGGAAGTTGTACATCTCAACGAGGAACACATCAGTCGTCTTATTCGACTCTTTATGGATATTGCTCAGCGAACAGGTTTACCACGCGGAGTGTGTGTGGGTTCTCTACACTCACCTACACCTACAAACACTACCACACATGCTGTTGGGAGTGGAACGGTGAATTCATTCTATCCATCTTATAATCCAATCACACCGCGGCCTGTACTCGCTGAAGTCCCGCATGACTCTGCAGAGGATGGGACTTGGTATGCACCAGTGGGAACTGTAGATGAAGGACGATCCATGTATACATACTACACTCGTAATATGTATTCTTATCTTCCTGTACAGGGGAATACTATAAATAATAATAATAATAATAATAATACTAATAATAATGCGATAGGAGGAGTCTCTGCTGGCATTACAGGATTAACGACCACTACGACTACCACTAGTACGACTGCTTTACCTACGGCTACTGCAGCTGGGAATGGACATGTGGACAACAATGAACCATCTCGACATCCTTCTCGTCTCATGGCACCATTAGATCATCATTCGCATCCTTATCAACAACAACAACAACAACATCCATCCCAACATCATCATCATCATATTGATTCTCATGCAGATCGTGCGATTATAGATGGGAGGCGGGAGAATACACTTCACGAAGGAGCCGCATTTCCCACACATGAAGAGGGTGATGATGATGCTAATGTCATCCACCATGGAGAGATGGATGGTAGTAGTGCGGGTAGTTACGGAAATGTTGAGGAAGAGGAAATTCCAACCGAACAACTTGTAAAGGCGTGGAGTGCAGAGGTGATTCCACCAAAGGAGGCACCCTTTATACGAGATGCGGCGAATATAGCAGATGTACGAGAGCGATTGTTGTTTATGCAGAATAGATTGGATAAAGCGGCATGGCGTCCACACAATAGACGACAGCGGCAGCGCAGTTTCACTCGCAGTAGTAGCAGTAGTAGTAGTAGTAGTGGTGGTAATCAGAAGAATGCCGCTGTTAACCGCATTAATATCGAAGGTCGCAAGATTAGCAAAAACAAGAATAGGCATCCTCCTAACAACAATAGTGTTGGAGTTAACAAGAGTAATGAAAAGAATAGATATATTCCACGTGTAGGTGAAAAGAGGAAATTAGATCATACTCGTGCGGGTAATGGAAAATTTCCACAAAATCTTTTACCGGGAAGTGTCGCTTTAACCATGGCCTGTAAACAACCCAAACGCATGATTGACTACACACTACGGGATGAAAAGATTGAAATGTTACGTTCCCTTCGCTTTATTGATGATCTCCAGAAAGATATAAGGCGTAAATTGGTGGAACGCCACAGTCGAGAGACACAGCGAATACGTGAAGAAATTCGTTATGCCTTAAAACAAGATCAACAGGAACTTATTGAACGTAAACGACAAATACGAGATGAGGATGAAAAGTACCGTAAAGCGTATGCAACGATTGTGGCTGCGGCTAGTAACAATCTTCGTACGGCGGATGCACTCATGCGGGAACGAACACGGGAGTTATCAGAATATCAGGCACAGACATTACGTGAAAATCGTGCGATGTCTCGTTATTTGAAACGTGAGAGTAAAGAGAGAATGCGACATGGCCTTCTTCACTATGCAAGTGTAGTTACAGGATGGCAATCCCATTATGTTAGCTAATTATTATTATTATTATTATTATTATTATTATTATTATTATTATTATTATTATTATTATTTATTGTTATTATTTTTCTTTGTGTTTTTGTTTGTGTATTTGTTTCTCTTCCTCTACATGTATATGCTTGTGCATATTGATTTCTTCTTATTATTATTATTGTACATCAATTTTTTTATTTTTATATTTATACACCCTTTTTTACTTGGTGTTTTCCTTTTTTTTGTGTACGGTTTGTGCCCTCTCTCAATTATCTCTGGCTCTGTACTCCTGTTTACATACATAGATAGAGAGATATGAAGATATGGGGAACGAGTCCAGTCAATGTTTAGAAAAGAAGAAGAAGAAGAAGAGAAAATGATAAAACTAAAAGAGATGAGGGACGACCAGTGTTTTTTTTTTTTTTTTTCGTTGTTGTTGTTCGTTTGGGTTTCGCTCGTTGTGGGTTCTTTCTGTGTGTGTATTTCTTTACGGGATTTGTATATCCTAACAAATCCACGAATACACATACACGGACACAACCAATAAAAAGGGAAATAATGATAGCAGAACGAAATACAAAAAATGCGAAAATAATAGTGAAAACTCATAGTCTCTTGCTATCGTGTTCTTATTATTGATGATAATGATGCTATTAGTAATATTGCCATTCTTTCGTCCTTGTTTTTTTTTTTTTTTTTTTCTTTTCTTCTTCTTCTTCTACACATAGTTAACGAAAATAAAATAAAAAAAGGAAGTTGGCCGTTAAAAGTAAACAAAATTTTTTGCCTTTCAACATAGGGAGCGGTAATAGCGGCAGTATCTCGGTCGACTTAATTTCCTTTCAAATTTAAATATATATCTACGTGAGGTGTTGCTCCCTTTTTTTTTTTTCTTTTTATTTGTCTGTATTATTACTATTATTATTACTATTATTTAGATGTCTGATTCTGGACAACAACGACGTGAATGTCGAGAACCCCACACCTTTCTGGAGAGCACTTATTTAGAGAGAAGTACATCCCCGCGGTTAAATAATCTTACACAAGAGAGTCGTCGTGGACGAAACAATGACACCACTGGATCTTCTGTGTTTAATCGCTTCAGTAGTGTGAGTCCACATCAGGCTGGTATCTCCTACAATAGCCATAGCGAATTATATGGTAGCGGTGGTTATTTCGTTCCTCCTCCTCCTCCTTCTGCTGCAGGGGGAGTAAATGTATTTCCGGCATCTCATCATACCTCCAATAGTGTTAATTGGACACTTCCACCACCCGCTGCTGCCGCTGCCGCGACGGTTGCCGCTTGGGCAGTACCGAAAGATGTTCCATGGATTCCACCGCCGCTGATATCCCCCAATGGCCTTCCGTCTAGTGTGAATAGCAGCCATCACAACACGACCGTTGGGGCTTCTCTTGAGGGAGGCGTAAAGTGGCCTACACCGCAGGATATTCCATTGCCGTCCATGTTTCCATTTCCCCCATACTTACTGCCGCCTTTTCCACCTCTTCCACCTAATGTAGATTTGAGTCAACTCCCACCACCACCACCACCGCCGTGGTTCCCTTCTCCCTTGCGAGAGCCAAATGGTGGAGTGATGGAAGATGATGATTATGTAGATGAGAGTTCAAGTAGTCGAGACAAGGATGTAGATATTAATCCTTCCAATAGAAAACGAATGAATGTTTCATATAATAAGAGATATACGCGTGAACCCTCTTTATCGGCACAAGAGCAACATCATATGCGTTCAATTACGAAAGAAGCAAGACGAGATTTACATCGTCAGTTATCACGTAGTGTGAGTGCAGATTCACAGTATAAAAATAACGAAATAGATCAAAAACGAAAACAGAGATCTCAACCCGTTCGATATGTTTCACCAAATGGTAAAAGAACGGCTACACCTCGTACAACCTTATCGACTGCTAAAAGGTTTACATCACCTTCTTATTCACGAGGTACAGCTGCTACTGCTGCTGCTATGTCTGCTCCTGTTTCCAAATCTAATTCCAATAGACGAACTGACTACTACACAGCTGCTCGTGCAGTAAAAGGGGTTTCACCTCGATTAGAAGATGTAATGAAGAAACATTCATCCGCTGTAGGTATGCGTTTGGAAAATACTTCACGTGGGGAAGGTTATGCCCGACAATATCATAGAAAAACAGAGGAAAGAAGTGGTAACTATCATCATCATCATCATGATCATAATTATGAAGAAAAAGAAAAAAGAGAGCGACAGTTTCTATCTAATCTTGGTGATGCTCATGGGACGACGACGACACCTCTCTCCTACCATGGATCTGGTAAACGGGATGAACAACGGGCGGAGGAGTATGTAAAAGGAATTGAAGATCTCTACAAGCGTTTGCGTAGAAGTTATGAAGAGTTTCAACGGGATCCATCAAGTTTCGTTCGTAATACTTCAGCTTTGAAGGAAGCAGCAAATGCCATGGCTCCACCGCTGGATAGCCGTATGAATGATACTCATACACATGAGAGAAAAGAGAAGAAGGAAATAAGCCAACGTAATAATAATAATAATGATGAGGATCGTGAATCTACTCAAGTAAGAGATCTGGGACTTCCATCTCAAGAGTCTCAACGAATAAGGGATGAATTATTGAAATTGGAAATGCAATGGCAGCGGTTGGAGGAACTGAAACGTGGATCCACAGGGGAATGGGCTGCAGCACCAGTGGAATTTACTCCACAAAATTCAAGATTGATTTCACCTCAGCGTGAATCACGCAGTATCAGTGCTAAGAGTAGTAATCACTCTGTGAATAGCGAATATTCTAAAAGCCAAAGAGCAAAGGAACAGATAAAAATTATGAATGGCACTTTACGACGTGGATCAGATCTGCCGCATTCTACCCGTGCAGATGGTGTTACTACCGCTAAAGTGGCTACTGGTATACGTTCTCATAACTCTACACCGCTCTCACAGAGTGATACATTGAAAGGACATCATTTAGATGGTACTCAAACAAATCCAAAAGACCGTAACAGTAACAGCAGTAGTAATCGAGGACCATTTACGCGTGAACTTGTTCTTGGTTTGGTAAGAGAACGAAAAGCTATGCTTGAGTAGAAAAAGAAAAAAGGAGGGGCAAACTATTATTGGGAATGGTGATGAGTTTCCAACTCTCTTTCGATTCGTTCTCTTAAACCTTCCCCACCCCCTCCCTCAGACTAGTGTGGACATGAAAATATCATGACTACATTTATGTCGTTTGTATCGTTGTACTATCATTTTTTATAAAATTATAAAATATTTTTATTTTTGTTGTTGTACTTTACCATTTAATAATCATACTGATAATAATGGCGGATTATTGTGGACCTAGTTTCTTTTTCTTTTTCTTTTTTCTTTGTTTTGATCTTTTTTCCTTCCTTATTATGGGACAAATGTAAAAAAAAAAAAATACCAAACAAGAAGAAAAGAAAAAAGAAAACAGCTTACGTGATGGAGAAGGAAATAATTCCTGGTGGTAATCCAGTACCCTCAGTGCCATCTGATTTCGAAGTATGTGATCAGATTGATCCATCTGCAGATGAGGCGATGTACTCAGACACCTCACGGGATGGAGGTTCTCAAGTACATGGGCTTCAGCAATATGGAGTTAGCGGTGGAAAGACACTATTATCTTCTCTTCAGCAACAAGAGATGTGTAAGGCATCATTGTGTCTCTTTCCTCTTGGTAACTGTGCCAATAACAACAACAATGCTGATTCTACTACACCCAGTTGTTCTTTATTTACGGCTTTAGTAGCTAATGAAGAAAAAGCTGGAGGTTCTGTGGAGCATTTGTGGGAATTTCTTTCTCACACTTCCTCGTGGGGCCCAACCGCGTGTGGTTGTGTGTCGCCATCATCATGGCGAACTCCATCGGAAGTGAAAACAATTCTAGAACAACTTCGGCTTGCAGCGTTTTTAGGTTTACGAGCCGTCATGGTGCCTCTTCCTGAGAATAATGATTCTGATTCTGATAGCGATGATGATACTAATAATGATAATAATAATTATGGAAGTGATGGAGATAGTGTGGTTGCGAGAGCTATTTCTGTTCTCAGGGAACATTTACGTCATTCACCTGTTACAAACATTTGGGTTCGCTGTGATGCCTCTTGTTCTTCACATCGTCTTAACTTCTCTCGTCTCCGTACGGTTTTGATGTGGGGAAGTTCACTTCCTTCTTTAGCAGAGGCAGCTGATTGTGTGGCCCGAGAATCTGTTCATAGAGTTTTTCCATATCTTTTCTTTTCTCAAACATTTGGGGCATTACCATCGGAGTGGCTTGGAGAACCTGTGGTGGCGTTTGAAGTGCCGTCGGAAGATAAGATGAGGCGAGCATTGTGTTCAAATGCAAAGGAAGGAGTACATTTACATTTACCATCTGATGTTATTCCTCTTGCGGTTTCCTTTTGGGCTACACCACAACCACGATTTATTACGTTGGGATCTTTTATGGTTGAATTACTGCGTAGACGAGCTATACCTGTTTTTGCTTTAACACATTTCGCCGATATGTACAATATTATGAATCAATTGTACAAACAAACAGTTATAGATAGTGGAAAAGATACTTTTGCAGATTTTGAAGATGTTCTTCAACTACCATTGCAACCTTTAGGTCATATGTTACCAAGTGGAACGTATGAAGTCTTTGAGCGAGACCGCACAAAGTACCAACAATATCATGCTGCATTAGTGAGTTACTTTTCAAACTGGTTATCACATCGTAAAGAGCGTAGTCATGCATTATTATGTAATCAATGTGCTAATGGACCGAAATTTATTAAAACCGATTCTGTTTACATTGTATTACTTGGTGCTGGTCGTGGACCTTTAATAGAAGAATGTCTTTCTGCTGCTTCTGGTGTAGGTCTTCGAGTACATTTATTTGCAGTGGAAAAAAATCCTGAAGCTCTTGAATTTGTGCGTTTACGTTTACGTTCAGATGTACGATGGTCGCAATGGATGAATACTTGTGGACATGTTGTAGAAGTCATTCATGCGGATGGTCGTACTATTTCTTCACTAGCAGCAAAAGAAAAGAATTTTCCAATTGAGTGGGGTTTATGTGATTTGGTGGTTTCAGAATTATTAGGAAGTTTTGGAGATAATGAACTCAGTCCTGAATGTATTGATGACTTTTATAGTGATCTTCAGCAATATCAGACTTCCATGGGGATTCCACATAATCCATATATAGTATCTATTCCTCAAGCATATACGGCGTGGATTGCCCCTTTGTACTCTGCATGGATGGAATCCTCTGTGGCGACTGCTGCTATATCCGGATTAACGGTATTGCCCTCTTATTGCAGTGATAGGCGGGCGGCATTATTTCATTCTATGTTTGTAACGAATATCACTCGTGCAGTTGCTCTTTCTGAACCACAAGCCTGTTGGACATTTCATCACTTTACATCTGAAGAAGAAGAAGATGATGATGAAGAAGGACAAGAAAAACGAAAAGAACGTGAAGCTAAACTTACTTTTCATTTAACATCTGCTGGACGTTGTAGTGGGTTTATTGGTTACTTTACTGCTCTTTTGTTTAAACCAGATTCAGCAATGAACACGGATAGTAATAATAACAATAATAATGTTGATCCTGTTCACATTTCAACAACTCTCTCAACTCTTTACCAGGGTCGAACACCAAATATGTTTAGTTGGTTTCCATGTGTATTTGCATTAGAGCCAAGAGATATTTTAGAAGCATCTGCAGGAGATTTATTACACTTACACTTGCGGCGTTGTGTTAACGTAGAGGAGAGTCGTGTTTGGTATAGTTATGATGCCTCTATAGAATGTCCAGAGAAGGATAATAAGAATAAGAATAAGAATAAGAAGAAGGAGGAGGAGGAGGAGGAGGTTGATGAAGAGAGAAAGAAACCCACGAATGCTGTGAAGAAAGCAACAGGAGTTGTGAATGACAAGGGTTGGGCAGCTTCTATATTTCTTTCCTTTTAAGATGGGGGAAGTTGTTCTTGTTGTTCTTTTTTTTTTTTTCTTTTGGTTGTTGTCATTTAGTTATCTCATACGGTTAACAAATGTTGTGTTGTTTAGAGTCTTTAATACTACCATTCTTTAAACGAACAACAAAACAAACAAACAT